TGTGACTTTTGTGTCCTTTCATGGGTCTTATTCTGCTTTTATTGCTGTCCACCCATTAAGCTCTTAAATGAATGAATGAATGATCTCCCTGCAGAATCAAAACATTTCACACCTCCACTCCACCATTTCCACATTTCTTCACATTCACAAGGGGCAAACTCTCCCTGGAGATCAGGAGGGAACAGACCTTCCACTGCAGAGGCAGAGTTTTATCTTAAAGGGGAGCAGCTCTTCCACTGGAAAAAACAAGACAACCCAACAGCTGTTTATTCTCCTGCCCCATTTTTATCAGTCTCTACTTTTCTAGAAATTGAGGCCAAACTGCTCAGTAGAAGAGGCTCTGTGATGACATGTGTATGTGAAAAAACCCACCATCCTCAGCGGTGTCCATGTCTGTTTGTGTGGGCAGAATGGTGGACGCAGCATCGCGATGCAGACCCCAGTCCTGCTGAAATCTGCTTGTCCCAAGGGGCACAGCTTCCATCACAAGGTCTGTCCACCATCTTGCTGGTTTTGACCTCACCCCCGCCACAGCCTCTGCTGACTATTCTCATAGATTTGAAGGGGAAATAGTCTCGTTAGAACTACACATCCCAGCATCGCTCACCATGCGGGCTGTGCACAACCAAGAGCTTGCTATCCTCCTGCGAACTGGTGACCAGTACCAGTTCTCCAGTAAGTGTGATGTGTAACTCTCATTGTCTCGGCAGAGTTTCAGTGCCTTGGTGCAAACATTTAATGTAATTTCTGTTTTGAAAAAAGAACACAGGAAGGCACACAGCAAGCCTGGACAGAAGATTCAAGAGTTTATGAAGGCTGTGCAGGAAGACATACGAAACACTTGTCTTCTACAGTAATAAAAACTTTGATGGATGTTCTCCCAGACTGATGGGGCTGGTGGGGCAGGGGGGCAGCGAAGCAAAGCGGTGGTGCCCTCAGACACAGGTGGAGACAGCCAGGAGCAGCTTTGAAGCAGCTTTGCAAGCCAGGAAAAAGACTTGACTGCTTTAACAATTCCAAAATTGTTGGTGCTTCAGACAGGCTCCCTGTTATCCCAGAGGACCTCTTCTGAAGGAGTTGCATAGCTCCAGAAAACAGGAAATGACTTTGGAATGGAAGGACAAGAAAGAACCGTGTGTGTGTGTGTGTGTGTGTGTGTGTGTGTGTGTAATATCTAAAGATATATTTTCAAACCTATTTTCTCAGAATGGTTGTATGTACATCTAAACCAAAGTGCAGTAACACAGCAGGGCAAGAGCAGGCAACCTCCAGCATCAGAGACATGGATGGCCCCCAGGGACTTTTTGTGGCCCTCAGAATCCCCTCCAGACTTCCAGTGTGGTGGTGTAAATCAGAGATGGGATTCTGGCATATCTTGTCAAATACATTTTGCATAATTGAAAACAGAAACTTTTCATTCCCAGCTGCACAAATGGGGGACAAATAGGCCTGCCCATGCATATGGGTGTCCATACCCACTTTGCCTCATTGCTGTACCCACTCTAGTCCCTAGTGAATAAACCCACCATGTTTCTTCAATGATCCCGCTGTTAAACGAATAAGGAACTGAACAATGTGCAAAGTTGGAAAGGTACATGGGGAGAGTTCTGGTGAATTCAGGCTACCCAATATCCAGCCAACTGAGAAGATGCTGGATGGGACATCACTGAACCATGTCAACATTCAAGTGTTTGCCACCATAACACACTTTATTTATTAATCAAATTTATATAGTTGCCCATGTCACAAGAAGTGACTCTGGGTGGCATACAATTATCAACCTGGACATTTCAAATATTTCAAACATTGAAATTTGTACATTTCAAACCTGTTTAGTACAACAAACCAATAAAATATATTAAGCATCCATGCAAATGTTATTTATTCATATTTAATGAATCAATGTCTTAGAAGAGTTTGTTAGAAAGACCTGGTTATATCTATATCAACTTCTATTCCTCATCATGTGATCTTGTTACTCTCAGAGGACCATCAGGTAGTTTCTAGGGCCTTCCTTCATTTTTTACCTCACTTCTGGATATACACAATGTTTTAGAAACATATTATCTTCAGTTTTTGTATATTCTTCTGCCATATTATGCCATAATGAGTATTAGAGATGCATTTTATGAATGAAAGGTTAGCCAAACAGCACCTGCAACCTGCTCTGAATTAAATTTGAAAGTAATTTTGATTGTTTTTAAAGAAATGGAAAAAAAAAGCTAGTATTTCAGATTTTGGGGCAATTCTTTTGGGAAGGGTGCCTAAGCCATCATGTGAGATCTTATAATTGCCTCAATGTCCAAAAACGTTGTCAGCTCATTGTGTAAAAGTTACACTAACAAAAACATGGCCAAGTAAACTATTTCAGTTTAATTTTTTTTTACTCCTGATATTAGTTTTTTTCCAATTATGACTGTAAATCTTCAAATTGAAAAGAAAGAAGAACAGCAATCCCTTTAAATGGAGCATTTTCAAAAGATGAGAGATTCAAATGGAATAAGCAGATGGAAAGCATCTGTTGATACATTTTTAAATCAGCATTAATGGAAAGATATCCTCATCTGGGAATGTTGTTTTACAAAGAAAGCTTCAAGTTCAAAATTGCACTGAGATATTCTTCGTTTTCAGGATCGATTTTCAAGGCTCCCTCATAGGCTTTCAATGCTTCTTGTCTTTCCCCATTGAGCTGATGAATAAATCCAAGGATTCCCAAACCCTCAGCATCTATTTCACCTTTCTTGATTTTCTTTTCCATTAAATTCTTCAGCACGTATTTATTTTTATCTCTTTCAATAGACTCCATTTCAATCTTCAGCCCTGCAAAGTAATGTTTGATAGCTACCGATTGTGAGTTTCTGTTAAATTCTTGAAAGCGCCCATAATTAAAATGGAGCTGTTGCTGCTCTGTAGATGTTAGATTGCTCATGGCAAACACTTTTTGAAAGGTTTCATCTGCTTTTTGTAACTCTCCTTGTTCTGCATACATTTTAGCAAGGTCAATATAAGCATAGATAAACTTGGTTTTATGCTCCACCACTTTTTTGAAATGAAAAATGGAAAATCTGATCAACTCATCCATCTTTTCTTTGACTTGGTATTTGCCATTTTTCTTTGACTTGGTATCTACCATTTTTCTTTCATTTTTCATCACTAAATATTGTGTTCTATAGCAAATCCCAATCTGATGGTGCAAGAATCCAGAGTTTGGGGTCAAGCTTAATGCTTTCTTCAAATATTGCAGTGATGCCTCTACATCACCTTTCTTCCTGTAAAATTTGGCAGCATACCTTAACACGTAAGGAACATCAGGATATTTTCTAAGTGCTTCCTCAATGTACTTTTCTCCTTCCTCCACTTTATTTGTTTCTTGCAGCTTTACTGCAAGAAGGGGGACAACAAATACATCATCAGGATTCAATTTTCCTGCAATCCTCAGAGGTTCCAGTGATGACCCTTTCCCTGAACATTTTTTTGCATCATAATCTTCTAGACGGTATACCGTGATTGCATAGCCTGAGTTAAATTCTGGGTTTTCTGGATCTTTTTGCAGTGCCTTTTCAAAGTTCTCCTTTGCTTTTTCATAGTACTTTCCTCCAAATTTTAGGAGCGCCCAACCCTTTTCACAGCAGATCTGAGGGAGCTCCATTTTATAAGGAGACTCGCTTCCAAGTTGCTTGCAGATGGTCTCTATCTTCTTCACGTAGGCTTGGGATTCAGTAAGATTGTCCATGTGGTAGTGCACCCAGGCGTAGTTGCCCCACGTAACCAGGCTTTCCTTTTCTACTTCCCCAGGGTACTCTACGGGCACAGACTCTTCCGCTTTCTGTAAGTTTTCCAGTGCTTCGTCCTTTTTGTCATTCAGGAATTTCAGGTATGCGAGCAAGTTGTAATTTTGTACTTTGGATTTCCTTAAGAACCGGATCTGCTCAACAATTCTTTCTTCCAATTCATCAGGATCAATATCCTCCTTCTGCAACATCCATGTAAAATGGCATTCCAATTGTTGGAGAATCTCCTTTAAACCTTCCTGGGAGAGGAGACTGCAGAACAAAAGGAGAGAGAATGAGAGACATTTACAATTTGCAAAGAAAGACAGTATAGTTTTCTATGAACCTTTTTTTAATTTAATGTATAGAAGTTAATTAGTAATAATAGGCTAGTTATATGTATCTAGATTATATTCCTTTGTTATATTTTGCTGTTTAACCCAAGGACTACCTGTATATGAAGCCTTCTGCCTGCCCAATGTGTATGAAAACTTCTATGACTGTGGTACAACCAGTGTTCAGGAATTCATTACAAAATAGGGATGACGCTAGACCAGTGTTTCTTAAAGTGTCCCTCAAGACCCCCTTAGGGGTCCACCAAATCAAAATTATTTGCCAGATATTGAAGATATTTGCAAAAATTTAAAACAATGTCACTCTTCTCATTACTTTTTTTATTTTGTTAAAAGTATAGAGATGTGATCGTATGTGGGAAAGACCTTGGGTGACTGAGCCAAGAGACGCAGCCAACAGAACGGTCAGATAAGAGACAGCACAGTCCACAACTGGATAGTGGATGGGGAAAGAGATTCAGAAGAGACCCTTTCTAGTTTCTTAGGTTATAAAGGAGACGGGAGAATTATATTTTCAGACTTGCAAGATTCTGTCAACGTAACTTTATAATAAAGTAGAATTAGCTTATCTGGTTGTGATTCCTATCTGGTTTACCCAGCAAGGCTGACAATCGTTTTTTCATGAAAAATATTTTATTTATGTGAATATCTAATGGGTTTAACATTGTTATTTTTACATGATTCAATAAATATTCTACAAATGTGTCAATTTTAATTTTTCATACTGTAAATATCAATAAATATAACCCACACAAACAAAAGCTCCTTTGAAGTTCTCCATAATTTTTAAAAGTGGGAAGGGGTCCTGAAAGCAAAATGTTTAAGAAACACTATACCATACTATTATTCTAACCTTTCCCAAACTGGTGCCCTCTGACTGGTTGGCTTTCAACTTCCTGTGCTGGCTGGGAATTCTGGGAGATGAAGTTCAGCACATACAATACCTGGTTGGAAAAGGCTTGCTTATCCCATTTTTTGCTTAATATCTCCTATTTCTACTTAGGTTTGCCAATAAAATTATTCCAGAGGCAGTTTTGGAAAATAATTTGTAAAAAAAATCCCAGCTCAGCTCAGCTTACATAGGAATCTCCCTTCATGTTATCCTTACAGTAACCATCCTGTGAGGTTTGTTGGGCTTAGAGGGAATGACTGGCCCCAGCTGAAGGGGGACTTGAACCAGGATCTTATTTTACTTATTTATATATTCAATTTGTATGGCCACCCATCTCACATAAGTGACTCTAGGCAGCTTACAAGTTAAAAACCAATATGCAAACGTATAAAACCATCAAGGGTCTTCTCTATCTTAGGCCACTACTTTAAGCCTTCTACCTCCCACTGGCTCAAGAATGTTTCTGGTGAAAGAAATCTCTTAAACCATTAAATTAAATTAAATTAAATTAAATTTGACATTTAATTAACAATTGATGCAGTTCATGTGATTTCTGTCCTAACTTGTATTTAATCATTTGTTCCCTCAGTCACAATAAAATTAGTGCTAATGTTTTCAGGGCACTTAAGGCTTTAAGATGCCCCTGAGAAAGCCTCAAACTGAAGACTTCCATTTTATGGTGTGTGAAAAATCAATAGCAGGATTAAGTTGAACCAGCGGGATCAGAGATGGCTGTCTGTAAGTGAAGCTATAAAGCATTTCTTTCCTCTTTTCTCCCTGCGTATAAACCTGCACAGTTGTCCGCAGAAACTGAAACTGCCACTCATTTTGTCACTGCCCCTCCCTTTGCTGACATCCATGTAAACCTGCTTTTCAGTCTTGCCTGCATTAAAGATTTTAGCCAGATAGTCCCTCCACTCTAGCATTCCTCGCTTGCAATATTCAGGACACAAACATGCCCCGGGAAACCTTTTTTCCTACCATATCCCCATGATGTCACCTTCATGTCATTCCCAACCCATGAGGGAGATAGAGGGAGATGTCTTCTCACTCTGACTCTCTCCAGGGGCAGCTTCAAAATATGCAAAATATGTTCAGTTTTGTCACTCATCACCTTGAAAGGACACACAAGATCATACGGATGGATAACTATAATGGACAGAAGGAATGACATTGAGGGATAGGAGGCAGAGCTGTTACCAAGACAATGGTCAGGTAAAAGAAACCTGAGTCAGGAGCAGAACTGTAACCTGAGAAAGTGTCTTAGACGAGACCTACCCTAGAAGATAAAGGGAGGGAGGGGGAAGCACATTCAGATTTACAAGATTCTGTTAGTATTTTTTTTTTTTATCCATTCAATTGTGTCTGATTCTCGGAGACTGCCTGGACAAGTCCCTGTTTTCTTGGTAAGGTTTTTCAGAAGAGATTTGCCACTGCCTGCTTCCTAGGGCTGAGAGAGAGTGACTGGCCCAAGGTCTTTGAGCCTAGGCGGGACTAGAACTCACAGTCTTCCAGTTTCTAGCCTGATGTCTTAACCACTACACCAAACTGTATTACCGTTACTTTATAATGAAGGTAGCCTTAGCCTGCATCACTTAGGTTTCCTAGTCTAGTCTACCTTGAAGGGCTGACAATAACAAAGACAATTAGCAAGGGGGTAGTAACTGATAGAGGCGAATATGTGTAGTTCAGGGTTTTCAACTGGGTTGAAAAGATCCAGTAGCCCAAGAAGAAAAAGCAGGAGTCATCTACAACATACGGTATAAGGACTGTAACAAACAGTATGTAGGACAGACAGGCAGAAGACTAGCAGAACGCATCCAGGAGCATCAACTAGCAGTCAGAAGACATGATGAAAATTCCTTAATCT